ACTGCTTAACTTTACAAACTTTACTCCCCTTAAAAATGTAACTCGGTGTAAAGAAGATTCATAAGATTATATTAGAGTTTATAGGTGTGATATTTTAAACTGGGTAAATATAAGTATGTGATCATTTATAATAATGTTAATATAAACTTAGATTTTAAAGGATTTCAGTTTCATTGTAAATTTCAGACCATTTCATCCAGTCAGAACTCTGGTTAGCAGCTAATTTATATGTGAACTTTTATGATCCTTCATTTTAATAGAATTGGAACTGAGAACGAATAGGAAACACAATCAAAACTAGGAATCTGAACCAAATCGTAATGGATTCCCAAAACTATTTATAATTGGCATTTTTATAAAGTTCCAAACAACCTTCAATGTTCCTTTTCTCATTTTATTGAAAAAGTTAAACAGTACCAGTGAAACAATGCTAACTTGTTTTATTAGAATATGTGGTAGTGCTCCTTGAATTAAAATGTTTAGATTAGTTGGAGTTTGTCAGACATTTTTTTGAAGAGTAACAAATAAAAATGATCTGGGGTCTGTTTCACGAAGCAGGTTTACTGAAGTTTTCTAAACCTGAAATCAGGGAAACTGACTTTTCCATTTCATAAAGAGAGTTTCCTTAACAAATTAGTTGACAGGATATGAGATTTTTTTTTGTTTGTTTAGTATGAGCATCATGCAGATCATTTTATTTTTTACTTAGTTATATTTAAAGTACATGAAGAACTACTGAAAATATTTTCAGATTGCACATAAATATTCATTAATTTCACGGGGGGGAAATGAATTACTTTAGGGTTAGGATTAGTATTCACTGGATGATGATAACCTAATGAGCCTACTGGCACAGTCTGAGGCCATTCTATGGGCCTGATAGCTGCTAATAACAATCATTTGTTGGGATAATAATATCTAAGGAAGGGTGCAAACAGCTACTTAGTATTTACTGTGTAAAAGAAGAAATGAATCAACATGAGGAACCCATGAGATGATGCACAGGTCTTATACAATAGAACGTTTTTTATTTATCATTTTCACCTACTGCCAGAAGATTTCACCTAAATAAATACATTGATCTACTGCTATTTAAGAAATAATCCCGTAATATCATGGTAACAACAGACTATGGCAAGTCGTTTATATGTACTAGTTTTACTGAATATGTATTCCTGTTATCTGAATAAAAACATTTCTTCTGCGTCTAGATTACCATTTCAAACAAAATGACATTCTCCACATCCAGAATAAACATTCTGCAAATTAATTTCTGATCTCAGCATTTGTATTATTTTAACTATGAAAAAAAATGTTTTTGTTTTTAGTTTCTAAAATTCAGTTTCTGTTATAAAACTGTTATATATATTATTACAGTTTGGGCTAGGAGTGTGATTTTTAACACGAATAATCTTATTTTAGTGCTCTACAAATGGAACAGAAGTGCTTTTAATAAATGTAAAAACAGCCTGCCATAGCCCATTTCATAGAGTTTTATATATTAACAGCAATCTTCTCCTTCGCCATCTTCCTCTCCTTTGTAGCT